AGCCTGAGGAAGACTATCCCCTTCCATATTGAATCAAGTCAGCAACTGATACCTTAATTCCTTTGAAGAAACATACCTAAAAACTAACTTATCCATAACATTTCACGCTTGGTTTCTAAATACATCTCCATAATCTCCTCTTTACCTACATGTATTCTTCTCAGACAGGTATCAACACTAAGTTTCAGGGGGGGAGACTCACTACTTTGTACTAAAAGTTCACTCCATAATATTAAATCTCTTCAGGATAATGACTTCTCAGCTACCACTTTGAGATTTCTCAGAATCAGCAGTTTGAATTATTGCTTAACACACTTTTTCCATACTGGCAATTTCATATGAACTAGATTTCAAGACCCTTTAAGCATGGTCTGCTAAGCTTTATGCTGAAAGAATTTTGAATGTTAATTTTTTTCCCTGAGATATTATGTCTAAATTCTTTAACGGAGAAGTGACAGCCTAAACCCCCAAACAGCTTTTCTACACATATGAGACATATGGGAAATGTGTCTCATATGAGACATGAGTGACTACACTATTTTGCTGATTCAAAAGCATGTAATGAGAGAAATAATTTCGTTTCCAAACAAAAATAACCTATGGTATTCTACTCTGCTTAGCTCAGCCTTTCCCTTTATTAAAATCTATTAATTAGCACTGAAATATGCAGTTTACAAAAAAGCTATTCCTTAGTGTTATTGCCTAAAAAAAGAACACCATGCTCAAGGTTAAGCTTCAAATGACCAACTTCAATATTTAATGTTAGACTAATTAATGTTTACTACAAGAGCCCATTATCTCTCACAGCAAAACAAAGCGATGCCATCAGAGAGGCACTCAGATGTGAAATGTCTAAAAATCAAAGCTATTCCTGTACCATACCAGAGAAACATCCCTAAATTTCAGTGACATTACAAAGGTATGCAGCACATGTAAACTGCTCATGTTTTTCCTTATGTAAATGTACACAGTTTCTTTTTAAAAGCATTAGTGTAATATATTTAATTTATGCAGGGGAATAAGGAACAGTTCTGATGCTGACAGTCACTTCTGTGCCTATTAACTATTCATAAAACCCTCAATAGCACTGGAAAGATCTTTTAAAGCAACAGTAAAGGCTTGGCAAAGCTTTTATCAAATTAATTACAAACTGTGAAACTTCTTGTTTACAGCTACCACTACTCACTAGTCAGACAGCAAGTTTTTCATGCTGAAAGCAGCAGCTATCCCAAGTCACAGAATACATAGGTTTTTTCTTCCGCAGTCCTAATGAAACAGACACTTTTCAGAAGAACTAAAACGGATTGACTGGTTGCACTACAACCCAAATTGTGCTTGAATTACAACCTAAGTAACCTGAAATTACCAAATTATGTTATCTACTGATGGTTTAAAGTGCTGTTAACAGAAGCCATGTATTGTGATTTCATTGAACAAGTTGCTTCGAAAAGTTAACAGTTTCTCCAAGTTTACACCATACCAGTCATCAGTTTCTGCTCACTTTTATTCGAAATCTCTTGCAAAATAATTTAAAACATACCCAGATTTTCCATGAACTGGAAGTTTAAGGAGGTTTAATCCTCAGAAGCCAAGTTTAATGATGGAAGAAAATACACTGTCATTTATAAACAATAGCAGGGATTTTAATTCCCTCTCACAGATAAGCAGCATTAAGTACCAGATGTTTCAGAAGACAAAGGCCTCATCCTGCTCCTATGGAGTTTATATAATGTGACAGGGGAAGCAAACAACAGTGTTAACGCACAGAACATACTCAAGAATAATATGAAATCACTCAGTTTCTCAAAAATCTTGGACTGATGAACAAGTAAACCTACAGTGCTGAAAGCGCTGACAGTTTATTTTCTAGTAAAGTTTTAATGCTGGCTGAGAGGAACTGCTGATTGAAGGGGTCTCTAAAAAAGGTTAATGAAGATTTCTAGAGATCAGAACTTGTGAAAGTGCCAACTAATGTAATTTTATCTGGAGCCAGTCTGCCACTTCTTGTATTTGGCATGTTTTATATCCTCTGAATTCTTCTAAACAAGTTAGCTGCTTCATTTTGAATTCTTAAGCTGCAGATAGCAAGAAATCAAAGAGCAAGTTAGAATAAAAAACATGTAACGTATTTAGCTTGTTCTTGTTGCTAAGCTACTAAAGCCCAGTTATGACTACAAGGCTGTTATAGATTTGTAGCTGCATTTCTGACAAGGCAATGTAACATCAATCTAAGCAGAGTAATAAAGACAAAAGATTAAAGTCACAAATCAGAACTTATTTTGGTAGGGGTACAGCACCTTGGGCACTTCCAGACCTTTCCAATTCACAGTATGCATCCATCCAAGCAGTTCTCGCTGCTGCCTTTAGTTCTTTTGTTAAGAATTCAAAACTTCACGAAATTTAAACACAGAGAATTCAGACACTGTTGAATTGGAAAGGGTCAATTCAAAGGATTACCTCCTTCAGCTGCTGAAATCTCATGGCTTATACAACAAATAGGACAGGTCATTCATCTGCCAAATCTTAGCTACACCTCTGATCCAGGGTACACGAACAGCTAGGAAAGTCAAATACCTGCAAGCAGAAAGTATGTAACGTCATACTAACATGCCTAAGGTTTTAATGGTGGTATCAGGTAAGAATCTCAGATTATAGTGACCAAAGCGTTCTCTCAGATCTAGAGCACAAGTACACACCATAAAGTTCAATTGTTAATACCCGACATATATCTGTACAGAAGATTCTTTTTTGCATATCCAAAAGGCTTCTCGTTCTTCAATTTATTATAAGCAAAGTTAGTTGGTTGAGTCATCACACTTCCCCAGGTGCCACTTCTCAAAAATAGTTTCTCAAGCCAATTTAATCTCACAGAAAACAACTGAATGTTGCTTTTACCAAAACAAGAAGCAAAGGGAATAATACAGCAGTTTGACAGCTATATGCAGCCCCCTCCAGTGAGGAATAAATATAGCTCATGTTGAGGCAGACAGATGTTGAGGTTGATAAAGGTAAACAGAACCATGTAAGAGGTAATAACCAAACAGGCTAGATAAGTCACCCGTGAATAACTTAACCCTTCAGTGAATCCAACATTGTTTATTCCCCTGCTGAGGGAACATAAGCCAATTAGTTCCTAAAGCACTAACATTTGTAACCAGCTACTATACAGCATGGAATGTCATCATTGCATCCCCACAGTCTTTTACATTGCTTTGTCAATTTGCCAGCTTTTCTAGAAGGTAGAGCTCTTTTCTTCCCTTCCCCCAAATCCCAATGTTATTTTGATCACTGGGGTTAGGGAAGGAAGGGAAGAGATATTTCTCAATTATCTGGAGGAAACAGATCTGCTAGAAGAGCTCACCGAAGAAATGTAAACTAATAGACTAGTCAGTAATTAAAAAGATGGTTTATTTATACTGTCTGACCTTACTCTATGGTAAGGTAAAGTCAGCTTAGCCAGCTATACATTTTAAACATCCAAGTGCCAGCACAAACAAGAAAGTGAACAAAAAAAATACAGGTCACTTCCAAAACTGGGAGTCTTCTCCAGGCAAAGCAGGATGCAAGTATTTTGCATTCATGGTAGACAGTAATTGAACCAATGCTGCTAGTGCAAGTTACTTAAGTCTCTAAATCTCTACTTACCCAAAAGACAAAACCCCAAAACAAGTTATGGACAACCTTAAACATTCCTAGATGAAGTTGCATGTGTTTTATTCAGCAAGTCAGGTTGATCAGAAAGCTTCTGTTGCGGAACACTTATAATCTATTTTAACTATATCGCCAATAGATCCAAAAAGGACATTTGATGAGCTTTGAAAATGAAAATTTTCAGAAAAACTTGGAGGCATAACCCATCAGCGTCTCTCATGGCACTAACTGCACTGATTGACCCCTCTTGTTGATTCAAAACAAACTGACTAGTGATTTCATATGAAAACACATTTTTAACAGCAGGAAGACTGCACAAAAGAATTTGTACATTGCATGCTCCCGAGTTCAATCTCTTATGTTCTTTTGTCATATCAAATATTAAAATACAGGTGTTTCATTTGAGTTGCTAACCTTGACATTTTTAAACAATGTTGTAAATAGTATTCAATGAACATTATTCTAGTTGGTTGAGTGCTTCTGGCCACAGCTGTAAGGCACAACTGCATATATAAGCCAAAGAAAAAGTTAGCAAACATATAATATGCATATATTATGTATACACTTATACAGTGCACACCCATCATGGATTTATTCACTCATGGAAGCATGCTCAGTCAGCACTTCCATTGGGTATCGTGTAATATATTCTGCTATCTGATAGAGAACGTGATTTTCTGGATTTGATAAAGGTAATACCAGATACTGCTAATACTGTAAGCAGTTTATTGGAAACCTAATTACAGTACTCACCACAAAATTTAACACTGTCTACTACTGTTCAAATCCCCATTACCCCCCGTTATTATTTAAAGCTATTGGTATCATGGTTTATTCAATATTTATTCACGTGTTATAGACAGATTAATTGCATAAAACAAGACTCACTAGTGGTTTGAAATAAATGCGGTATTTCACTAGTAGTTGGAAAAGCCAATTTATATAACTTTAGAATAAAGTACTGTAACCTGAAGCATTTCTCCATAAATGAAGACAGCTTCATTGCAATCCTTTATAGTCTAATGTTGCTTCTAGCTTCTAGAACACTTAACCTTTTAATAAAGAATTTTAGAAGCTTTTGAGGTTGCTAGATTTATATGGGAACTCAAAACTTAAATCAGGTTTTTTTTAGAGGGAAGCAATATTAGACAGAAGATGAATGCATATAGAAATCCTCCACATAAACATGGTCACACAAGTAGATCTGTGGCACAGTCAATAACAAAACACCAAAATCATTTTTACCTTGTGTATTCTTAGTTGGCAGACCCCATTTCCCTCTTCCTCTGACTCCACTCAATGCAAAAAGATATATAAAGTTTTTATTAACAGAAATGAGAATTACTTACCAATTTGTAACAATACGGGTGTTACCAAAGCTGTCTCCATGGCATAACAAAATTCCCTGCCAAACATTACGGCACCATGCATGACCCACAGGCGTATTGGTATCCGGTCTATGGATCCTTCACTAATGGTCTCCTCCCTACTTTCATTCTCCTTGTTTTCTGGTTTCTGAAGCTGCGCCACAGGTAGATCTTGAACTTGCATAGATTCCGAGTCAGCATTCTGGGGAGCCATTTTCATTACCATAAAAAATATATATATATTTGTTATATCTATATAAATAATACTACCATAACTCCACGAACAAGTTAGGGTATCTTCTCTTTCAGCTTCTGTTCCTCAGGCAAGTAATGCTTATATTCCTCTTGTACAAACAGGTATCTTGCAACTTCTGGTATAGATATGAGACATTAAGAACAAAAAGCTATTTGGTAGGAATTTCAACATATGGCTTTCTGGTTTTCTAGTTAAAAATCCCTCATTGCCATTCAGTTAATACCAGTTTCATAATTATTATTGAAGAAGTGCTGAAGTTGTTATTCTTGCTACAGAGAGGTGGAAAGGCGACACAAAGAGGTGCTCCACTGTTAATCCCCATCGAGTGGCTGATTAATCTGCAACAAAAAGCAAGCATTTAAAAATTTCAATAGCATTTTTCAGGATATTGTGCCTTCCCCCCCCCGCCCCAACCATATACCCTATTTCCTGCTTAATGCTTTCCATTGTCCTTGCCTAGTGTAGGGTCTTTTATTCCACATTCCCTCCTACCCCTGGACTTTCCACTGAAATGCAGTTACTCCTCATATTTAAACAATTCTTAACTGTACTCATAAGTTCCTCCAGTTTGAGGTCCTACGTGAAGCCACAGAAGAATATATCAGTGTATTTGTCCAAGATCCTCAGAACACTGACCACAAGACTAACAAATTCTGGGAAATTTAATGCAGGTTGCATTTCAGAAAGTGTGGGCTATTCCAGTACTATGCCAGGAAGATGATTCATCAATTACTATTTACTCACTGGTTACAGACATCTCAGTTTAGACTTTTGGAAGGTGCCAGTTACTTTGCAGTAACCATCACACAGTCTTGTAACAAAGATATTCCTTGAGCAAACATGACCAAAAATAAGCCATTAGGAATATAACTTTGAGGACTAATATTTAAATATTTAAACTTCTAATGAAGATATATATACAGCATACGCATCCATCTTCACTTTCTGCACACAAGACCAGAGCATCTTACTCCCATATCCTATGAGGCTTCTGGAATCCATAAAAGTAGAATGGTACAGTATCTTCCACCATACATTAAAATTATTAAAATATATTCCAACCAGGTAAGACAAGCTTCTCCTGTATTTCCCCATCCTTTGAGCTACAAAGTCTAAGCAGACCTACATACTGTACCATGTCAATCAAAATGTGTTTAACCACTTAGAAGAAAAAAAAAAAAAGCACTTTTTATGAAGTCGGATTACATAATGTTTGTACTAGAAGGATGCATATTCGCGTCTATGCACACAGTGTGACTGAACTCGTATCCCAGGACAAAACCCCCCGGGGCAGCAAAACTGGCCTAAGAAGTCCCCACACTGCAGTTCACTGGCCCTTCAGTTGTGGCAACAAAAACTCTTTGTGGGCTAGCAGATCATTAAGCGGTGAACCTAAAAATGAGCCTGAAGAAAAAGATGACATGCAACCCAACACGCTGTTCTACTAAAAATACAGCACGGGAACAGCATCTTGAGCACTTCCTCTTGCCGATACCCTCCTTTGAGCTGTAATCTCAGCAGGTTTATTGCATGTATTTTGTTCTTCCATTCAAAAGCATTTTTTTTTTTTGTCTGGGCATTTTCTCTTCCCAGGCTCCCTGAGATTCCTCAAATTCTCAGATTTGGTCACCTCAATACCAACTTAATACTACAGTTTGCTTTTGAGCTAGTCAGACTTTAAATCACATGACAGAAGTTAAAATAACTTACTGAACACAAGTGCTATAAGCTGAGTTTTAAGTTCCAAATTTTGATCTATAAGCATTAAATAGCTCAGAACAAAAAGGACTCGAGAAAGCATTTCTCTACCCACTCAGAATTAACACGAGCAGTTGAGATGGCACTGCCTAGGATTACTGAATTATGGCACAAACAGGTATTTATTCAAGTTCTTCACAAGCACCTTGTTTCCATAAAGCTTTTTCTTTCCACTAGTCAGCTCCTGCATGCATCGGAGTCCATTTGCCTCCTTCCAGTAGTTAATACAGTGTTGAACTCGCATCAGGAAGGGAAGGGATGTGATTCTTTTCCCTTGCTTTTGCATCTGAGGTTTCAACTCAATCCTTCACGGACTATTAGCTTATCATAAATATGAAGTTAAGTACTGTGTGTATTAAAAAAACACACATTCACTTTTCATAACACAAGTTCAGAGTAAAACCTACAAAATACAGGTTTCAGAGTAGGAGCAATTATTTTAATTACAGACTAGTAATAAAATGTTTAATTGCTGGCAGACTCAGGCAAAATTGCATTCAGGAGAATTTAAAAGTTTACATATCAGTTCTTATTCAGAAATCATTCAGAACATGTGTGTTGTATTACAGACTAAGGGTCATGGATAACTCCTGCGTAAGATGGCTTTGAAGTCTCTAGTGTTTTCTCATGCTTAATTTCCCCTCCTGTCACTGTCTATGAAGGATTTAACTCCATTTCCCTAAACAGCTCATTTAATATGCAGTTACAGGATAGCAAAATGAGGCACAGAGAGGAAGGCATTACATCAGACCAGAATGTTTTATGATGCACTGGGGCAGCCTGCATACACAAGCAGGCTGACACCAGGCTGGGAGCATTTGTCACTGGAAAAGATGGAGAGGTAGGACAATAAAGGATATCTGAGATTTATCCCATTTGAGCGAGACTCTTAAGGGATGACTGAAAAAGTTATTCTTGAAATGGAAGATGATGGGGAGTGAGCTGATAATTTAAAAGACAGGAATAATAGATGATACATGGAGGTAGACTTTGAAGCTATAATTGACACACATAAGAACAGTATATTTTAAACATGCCAGAAAAAGCAGTTACAATATTCAAGTGCAATAGCAAGAGGCACAGTGGACAGATTTTATCTAAAGGAACAGAGAATTACTGTTCCATTATGCCAATTTTGTGGTAAGCATAACGCTAGTCCTCCTGCAGCACTTTCATTTGACTCCAAGTGCATGTTTAATACAAGAGCCAGAGAATAACAAGAGCCTCAAAGGTCATCCAGTTCTTTCATAAGTCCTGCTAGGTTGTGTTCATACTCATTTTAGACCAATGCAGATTCTGCTGCTGCTTTTTCCAAGTTCATTTTGAATTTGGCAAGTCTGAATAGTGGCATTCTTCCTTATTGAAAAGGGAGACAAATTTGTTTACCTGCTGGAAGTAAACATTACAGAAGCTTTTATGCAGCAAACTCCAAAGTAAAAGGCATCTAAAGAGGAGTTGGATTAAAATACCAAAGAAGGCATGCTCCCATGCACCTGCACAATTTGTTTTTCATGTTTGTTGGCTAGTAAAACCAAACCTTAATTGACAATATTTTTATTTGTAGTATTTGAATATCCATAGTAATTTCCAATACATTCCCTTTACTCATGTGGTTCAAAGGCTTTATGGTGTGAGGAGTCCACCTAAGAAACATGCCAGCATTATTACATTTTTTAAAAGAAGTGATGAATTAGGCTTACATTTTACCTGCCATTCAATCAGACTATGTACTAAGAGAGCTGGCATCCCTTCCTCAAACAGATGTTGAGGGGCATGGTGGTAAAAGGTTTCTGAAAGAAAGTTTCCCTTTCATCCGTACCTTTCTGACCATTCAGCCACAAAGAAGCTAACCAAATAATTTAAAAACCTAAAGTGGCACAAGACAGCATTTATCTCAGGAAGTTGAGACCACGTCTCCCATTCTGCCACGCACTTTCTCTATGCTTCCCATAAAGTTTTAAAAGGCATTTTCATGACTAAAAGAATAAGGAAGTAGAATGAAGAATTTCAGCCATGGAAAAGGGTTCATGTTGGCCATTGTACAGAGGTTGGATACGAAGAGAAGTTTAGATACAGAAATATTCCTGATCTTGCAAAGTATATATGGGAGGAGGGGACTCATTACACTAGCTCTTCTTCAACCTAATTGCACGTTTTACTTTGACCTTTGGCCACATTGCCACAATAACAAAACCTATAAAGCAGTAGTTAATATTTCAACAAAACAGGCAAGTAATATATTCTGAAAACTAATCTGTAAGCAAAGTTTTATAAAAGCTGCTCAAAAGTATTAACAGATAAGATTACAAGCAATTTACTATCTTCCATCTAGGCATAAGTCATAACTTGACTACGTGAAGCACAAAACATGTTACAGGCTTGACAAGGCTATATCACAATAATCCTATGCCTCCAACAGCTAGTGCTCACAAAGCACGTGACTCATCGAAGAACCAGAGGAACATTACCGCCTTTCGTCAGGGTTTTCCAAAGAAGAGGAAGAGTTCTTAGGTCATATTTGCGGCCCACAAAATTCAGTAGTTTTCCCTAGCAAGCGCTAAGAGGCTAGAGGTGCACAAAAAGCTCACGCTAGACGATTATGCAACACAATGCCTCAGGCAAATGACTTCTACCATGCTTCTCAGCATGTTTTGTAAGTTCAGGACTTAGAGGTTGACAAGCAATGTTTTTACATTTGTGGTATCATCTGGAGGTCAGAAGACTGGTAGTACACCCATCAATCCCAAAATAAATGGGGTTAACAGTCATCCCGCTCAAATCGTTTAAGACTGAACTATTTTTACTGCATGTTTCCAGATATCTCTTGCTTCCAAGGGAATAGGAATGTACTGTTCAACAAACAACTCTATTTTCTGAACCAGTGCCCAATCATATGACTTTACCTGAAACTTGTTGCATACTCCATAGCTTAATTAATCACACACATACTTTATTAAGCAGTAATAAAGCCTGGCAAGTAGATACAGTTAAATGGCCTCAGCTGGATACCAGGAGAAAATTTCAGTTCTTTAGGAGGGCTTCCTCTGAAGCTATTAGGCAATCCTTAAGGCATTTATTGGTGTAAGAAACAATTTATTTCAAGAGGGTAGGTGTGCACTAGTTACAAAATCCAAGGTCCTGAAGGGAAAAATAAGCACACCTAAGAAAAACTGGAGTGAACAAACTGAAAAGCATGGAAACAGTTCTGTCCA